AAACAGTTATCAAAGAAAATACATAGAAAAGAAACAATTGTTAAGAAAACAGACGAGAAAATTAGCGGAATTGAGAAAAACAAAATAGCAGTAGAAAATCACATTAAATGTGCTGTTGAGAGAGCCATCGCCAACATCAAGCAGAAAGGAAAACAACTGATGAACGAAGTCAAGGATATTACAGACAAACAAACTAAGCAACTTAAAGCAGTTGTTAAACTTGAAGAGATTGAGATGCAGATGTACAGACAACATTGTGAGTTCATTGACCAGGCCTTGGTATCGGACTGTGAGATGGACCTGTATGACGCCTATCAGGCCTGGGAGTCGGGGGCTGTAGAGCTGGGGGATGTCAGGGACACAGACACAGCAGACACACGGAGAATAGACGACATCTGGTTCACACCTGACACTGACAACGTCCAGCACACTCTAGATGACCTACAGCTGGGGAAGATTGACGTCACATACCAGGATCAGGGCACATGTCTGCCATCTCCAGTGCTGGTTGACACGATAGATGGGAAGATGGCGGGCGATGAAATGGAGCCTGATCTACGTAACGTCACAGTCCTGGTTGTAGATGGTATACAGACAGTTGTAGTCACTGACATGGAGAACGAGTGTGTGAAATCTTTGTACACAAGAAACAACTTGATATGCCACAGTAAACTTCCCCTGGATAACTTTCCACGTGGTGTAACACAGTTGAAGGAGAACCAGGTGATGGTTACTGTCCCTGGCTCCAGTCAGATTGTAACTGTAGAAGTGACCCCTGACCTGGTGCTGCTCTCTATCATCACAACAAGCAAGGACTACTACAGTCTCGCTGTTCTGAGTCCTTCATCTCTAGCAGCAGGTACATATGACTGTGTTGATATCCTGGACATGGCGGGACACGTGCTGAAGTCAGTCACTACACACAACAACGAGACACTGTTCTCCTACCCCTGGTACATTTGTGTCAACAACAAGGGTAACATACTCGTGTCTGACTGGGATGAGGAGTCTGTGACATGTGTGACGTCAGAGGGGGATGTTGTGTGGAGATACGCCCCTACTGGAGACAGAGCACTCACCCCTTATGGTATCTCAACTACTCCAACAGGAGACATCCTGGTTGCAGACACCAACAATGTTGTACAGCTGACAGAGACAGGGGATTATGTCACAGATCATAAAGACATTGGCTGTGATCCATATGGATTGTATGTAGATAGACATGACACAATGTATGTGTGTGAAGACGGTCAGATACACGAAGTCAACTTCATGTAGTCACACCAACCACTGCATGCTTTCAGTCATCACTATCACTGGTGTTAACTTCCCTATAACAACTCAAAATGGACTCTTCCGATTGGGGTGTGAATGATCATACAAAGGTGTATCAACAGACATTATTTTCACATCATTACACATCACATTATGTATTTAGCAATCTGGTTATCTTTATTAAATCACCTCCGTGTTCTAGTAAGTACGGTGTCGGCCGGGAAGGCGAAAAGTCCTTGGTTTGATCCCAATCTGCTCAAGAGATACCAATATTTCACTCTATTCTTAGTAGATATGATATGGTTTACTTGTTATTGAAGTGCTCACATGACTACTTGGACCAGTGGATGGTGACTTGATATATTGTTTAATGACACTAATGAGTTCCCAACTCTTGAGACCATCAGTGGGTTCCCGAGTCGGGCTGGTTACCCGGGCTGTAGATTTGGACTCGTCCCAGCTCCAGTCAGTACCATGTTAGGTACGTGGTCCATTGCACCGTCGTCATAGAATGTTTTTAGTTTACTAGATAGTAGAAAGGGTGTTCCATGTAGGTGAGGTGCGTTAAAATGGGGTTTAACGTCGCGTCCATGATTATTGCACTTATATAGCGACGTGTCTGCACGTGTGTGTGTCTGTGTGTGTGTGTGTGGCAGGTTGTACTAGTCCGGACTGATGCCGATTTATAGTGCTAGCTCACTGAGATACCATGCCGAAGTTTAACAAGAATACCCCACTCAGACACAGTGTACTGACTCCGAGCCGACCAGTCCTTGTTTTATCCCCTTAATGCCGAGCACCAGACAGGGTAACAACAAGTACCATCTGTTAATGTCTTTTGGTATGACGCGGTCGGGGATCGAACCCCGGAACTTCCGCTCTCTGGGCGGACGCTCTACCACTAGACCACGGAGGCGGTCTGTTCCATGTAGGAATGTTCCATTTGTGATGTCATGAAGTTTGTTTTGTGGAACGTTATGGTGAGCCACTTAATAACAAATAGCTCCTGCATCATACCTGTACGGAGGAACACTTCTACAATTGTGTAATTGTGTTCATATCTCTAATGATTATAATAGTGTCGTAGGTATAGTACATTTAATTGTTCAATTGTCAAAAAATAAACTGTAAGTGATTCCATGTTAGTGTTTGGCTAAAAATGAAATTATTTTTGTGCGTCAGCTCCATAATCAGAGACCGTAAAATAGATATAGTTTACTCTGAATAAACTGAACAAACGTTAGGCCATGACGATCAGGGGTAGAATAGGTCTTCAGCAACCCATGCTTGCTGTAAAAGGTGGCTATGCTTGTCTTAAGAGGCGACTAACGGGATCGGGTGGTCAGGCTCACTGACTTGCATGGTAGATGCTCGTGATGTCAATCCCTGGATTGTCTGGCCCAGACTCAATTAATTACAGACATAGCTGGAATAATGCTGAGTGCAGCCCTCAACAACAATTTGTCAACAAACAATCATATTTGCTTGAGTCCTACATATTTCATCATAAGTTGGGCAATTCAAATGACATTGTTGATCCCAACAGGGATCCCAGGTTAGAATATATCCTCAGTAACGTATGCTGGTTGTAAAAGGCGACCATAGGGACCGAGTGGTCAGGCTCTGTTACTTGATTTGTTGTGTTTCATGTACCCTGTTGGAGTGGATCATTGCTCACAATATCAATCACTTAGTTACAAGTCCACATCAAATAGCTGGAATATTTCTGAGTGTGACATTAGACACAATAAAACACACATAATCATGATTGCATTTACTTGAGTATGTTGTTCCATCTATATCCTGAGAGGCTATTGATAAGCTAGTCTGGACAAGACAGACCAATGGTTGATATTGGGACAAATGTCTCATGATGTCCGGTTATGGTGACACAACACGTCAAACGATCTATTGCAGTCGCTAGGTTACTAGGGACCAATTCTAACCCACACACACTATGGCTTCTTTGTTACATGATTGACCCTGCCCTCAGCAAAATGTCCAGCTATTTCACAGAGGCCTGTTGGTAACAGCGACTGGGTCAGACAAACTAGTGATATTATGAGCAACACCCCATGCTGTCACAATGACACGCAATCAAGAATGTCAAAAAGCATGACCACACGATCCATGTAGTCTCTTTCACTGTGGCCTTCTGTTCTAACCCAGAATCCACATGGGAATTTATTTATATATTTATTTTCCAACATTTAATTTATATGATTTGCTGACTGAATAATTTATTAAACCCTTGAATAAGTAGAAACTAAACATCACACAAAGAAGCAAAATGTATCCACAAACCCTTGCGCCATATCAGCCTCAACGCATCTGATAGATAGATAGCTGAGAAAATGGACAAAATGGTATTTTCAGTTTGGCTTGTACACTGGTATCTTCTCCATGCAGTCAGCCTGGTTCAACATCTGCTTCCTCGTTGTGTCCGAGGTCACTACCAGATAGACTCCCTTGGTGATCCGCCCAGCCTCCTGTGTAATAAGGTCAACTCAGATATCAAGCCAGGACGTCATGTGGCTGTGAATCTCTCAACATACACCTGGTGTCACTACACTCTCATTAAAACCAGATCTTTGTGCTCTTTATGAACCTGTAGCGAGCACGAGGGTTGGATTTGAATGAGGCTGGTATCATTACAGGATATGACTCTATATTATCGCGGGCCCTATATTATTGCGGTATCAGTAAGTCTCGTAATCCACACTCATGTCGACTGTTTACTTATGCAAATCTAAGCACGATATTTCATCGCATGATCGAATACAGGACTCGTTGTAGTATGTCACGTATACACACTTTAACTTTTTCATGGTAGTTTCTTGAATGTATTTGAAGTGGAAATACCCACTGCCTCCATTCTAATTGATTAGAAAAGAACCCATTTGTTTGGACGAAGTCCCTTGACCCAACGTAGGTTGTATGCATACCGATTGTGCATAATACAAATTAGGAAGTGAAGCCACATGATCCACATGTATCACGCCACAACATAGCCATACCTCGGTAATACAGAGCTGCCATCCCTTGTGTCGCCAATGACAGGTAATTTGTTTACCGAACTCGGTAAAGACAATCAGCATCGATCAATCCTAATTGATGTGTCATAAAAGGTGAACAAAGAACAAGCATTTTGTGTATGACATATTTAATAAGTTTGTAAGCGTGCGCCATTACCATCCATTATAATTTGACTACCGCGATAATATATCGTACCATGCTATAATTACACACTAAGCCCCGGAGATGAGGTGAAAATATAGGGACCAATATCACTTTCAAGATTATTTCATTTTTGCAGTGACTTGCATTACATGACGGTGTGCACGTTAACATTACTTAGTGATATTGGTATGATTTTGCTTTACGTTACAGGAAAGTTATTTTATCTGTGGTATATTTCTTTTTTGGAACATTTATGACATGTCGATCACCACACCTGCCACATAACCGCTGTTCCAACCTTTTACTTCTTGTTCTGCTGCAAACCACATTACATGCATTTTGGCACATGATTGTACAAATACGAATGCGTAGGACATCTTAGGATATTACAAAAATGCTGTTTACAGTGTGTCCCGTGTGTGTATATTGAAATATGCCGATCTCTTGCGTTGTTACAAGAATCATCCTTGATTCGATCCAGGAACCTACGTTGCCATCAGATTTGATCGCTTATGAATCACCACTAGTCGAGATTTCGCAGTTACCTCCCTTGTATTTCATGCGGAAGGGACAGGCACAGCCGTGAACCGAGGCGGGATTTGGTTATTTAAAGGCATCCAGGACGTACAATTCAATCTCACACAGTGCACATGAAGAACTAGTATACCTGTTTATTCAGAACATCGACAGCATCAAACTTATGTCAGGTTTGTATTTCTTAAATTTAAACTTAAAAACACACGAAACATTAAACGAAGAGAAACCGAAAGTAGGAATTGTTGGCCCCAAGAAAATCGAAAAATGTAGAGTATATTGATTTAAATTTCTTTTATTGTTATGGGTTTTACAAATGTTTGACATTCTGGGAAACAATGTCATTCGTCGACGTGTAAAAATGACACAATAGAGATATGTTGACTTGGTCCTGAATACTAACGTTCACAGCTACCTCCCTTGTATTGTGACTGTGAGGGGGCGTGTCCATTATCAGTAAAGCAAGGCTTGGTTGGTGTTGACAGAGGTGGATTACAGGTCATCAATACAAGACCCTATTGGTAGTTGTTTTAAAGTTAGCTTTTAATATGAAAACAAATGAACATTTCAAACAATGACGACAGTTTACCTCCACATCTACACGAGTGAAGTTGACATCAATCCTGATCTCACATGACCACAATATATTCATATATTCAGTTTCGGTTCATCTATTCCAGGTAAATCTTTTATTGTGTGGAAACATCGATCGAACTTGTTCTTATGACAGAATTTATAAAAAACTATAATGTAGGAACATGTTTTATTGAAACAATAGTATAAACAAATACATAGACACACGCTTCTGAAACACCTTGTTTGACATGAAGTCACGATTTTAGAATCTGTTATTCCTGTAGCACTATGGATTGGTCGATATGGTCATTTTTGTGACAAGAAATGATATGTTAACGACTCATTCGACATGGATTTACAGAGGCGTTTCAGCATACTTAGTGGTGCACACAGTTCATGATGGAGTGAGTGAGTTTGGTGTAATGCCGCTTTATACAGTATTTCAGTAATATCATCGCGTGTCAGCTTGGTATGGAAGGTTAGCCCAAAGTCGCCCTCAAGAAATGTTATTGTCTCAAACAAAACACATGCTACTCCATTACAAAGACGGAACAAGTTCAGCTGAAATTATTTCTTGGAAAAGTGAGCAGTTATTTATGTTTTACAGATGGCGACGTCGCGAGCTGAGAAAGTGACGGAGTTCCTCACCTGTGTGATGTGCCAGGAACTGTACACAGACCCCTGTACACTGAGGTGTGATCACACATTCTGCAGGAAATGTGTCACTGCAAACATCCAAACCAGACCAGATGCTGTACAGTCCAAGACGATCCCCTGTGCCTTCTGTCGACAAGATACCAAGGTCCCCGACCCCAGCCGGCCAGTGGAGGAGTGGGCGGGGCAGATCAAACCCAGCATCATTATACAGGGGCTGATTGACACTCAAGCTGACGTTGTCAAAACAGGTAATGGTTTATTATATGATGAATTACACATTCATTTCACAAACTGAAATCTATTAATAAGAGTCATGTTTGTGATAAAGGCATGTTAAAGGGTACTCATTATTTGTTTAAACATGCAGTATAATTACAGTATTGCTGTTAACAGTATGTTCAATGATACCAACTGAATCCACTAATCGACTCCAGAAAATATACATTTGTTACAAACATGACTCCAACTGTAATCACTGCATAGAAATATTTACAATATATTATGACGTCGGGACGATGTGCATCGGCAATGCTAATTGACCTGCTGATTATTATCGGTTTACATGATGCTTATATAATCAGATCATCCATAAAGCACTTGAAAAAATTATTATCTGAAAACATCTACAAATGGGTATTTGTAATGATAGAATGTTTCAGTTTGATAAAAGTGAGTGAGTGAGTGAGTATGTTTTTTTGCCGCCTTCACCAATGTTCCAGCGATATCACTGCTGGGGATACCAGAAATGGGCTTCACACATTTTACTCATGAGGGGAATCAAACCTGGCTAACTCTTAAACCACAAGGCTTCCCTACCGCCCGTGAAAATCGTGATCGAAACTATACACTTGTAAGAGTAATTGTAATTGCCACCTTCAGCAATGTTCCAGAGATATCACTGCGGGAGACCCAAGAAATGGGGTTCACACATTTTACTCATGTGGGGAATCAAACCTGGCTAACACTTGAACCTCTTGGCTTCCCCATCGCCCATGATAATAGTGATCAGAACTTATAAGTGCAATTGTACCTGTTGAAACTACATGTACATAACTGGGTGAATGAGTTCAGTTTCAAGCCACTGCCAATCATGTCAATACAGGGCTTCCACAACAAACCCATGGGCGTGACAAGCAAACACTTTTCCTCCAAGCCTACACCCAACGCGCTATTCGTGCATTGCAAATAGGTGAGAGGGGGTGATTTTACCTGGATTCTCAATCTTTTTTATATAAATATTGTCATGATATGTCGAATAACTATAGAAATGTCCACTTACAGGTTCCGCTTCGTGTTGCTCAGTGTGTGAGAAGTTAGGGGAGACAACTCCGGGAGCCTCATGGTGTTCTGAGTGTCAAGTGTCCCTCTGCGAGAGATGTGTCAAGATACATCGTGCAAGTCCATCATCACATGACCATGAGATCTGGGACCTTTCAGGGGAGGTCAAGGTGAAGAGGAGGCGCAAGGTCATATGCAGGGAACATAAGGATGAGGTTATAAAGCTTGTATGTAAAGACTGCCACAAAGCTGTGTGTCAGACATGTTGTGCTGTTTACCATAGGAAATGTGAGTCTGTCGTTACCATTCAGTCAATGTTGTCAAACCTGAAATACCATTTAAGAAGGCATGCTAAACAGTTATCAAAGAAAATACATAGAAAAGAAACAATTGTTAAGAAAACAGACGAGAAAATTAGCGGAATTGAGAAAAACAAAATAGCAGTAGAAAATCACATTAAATGTGTTGAGAAGAAAGGAAAACAACTGATTAATGAATTCAAGGACATTACAGACAAACAAACAAAGGAACTTAAAGCAGATGTTAAACTTGAAGAAATTGAAATTCAGATGTACAGACAACATTGTGTGTTCATTGACCAGGCCTTGGTATCGGACTGTGAGATGGACCTGTATGACGCGTATCAGGCCTGGGAGTCTGGGGCTGTAGAGTTGGGGGATGTCAGGGACACAGACACAGTAGACACACGGAGAATAGATGACATCAGGTTTACACCTGACACTGACAACGTCCAGCACATCCTAGATGACCTACAGCTTGGAAAGATTGACGTCACATACAAGGATCAGGGCACATGTCTGACGTCTCCAGTGCTGGTTGATGTGATAGATGGGAGGATGGCGGGCGATGTGGTGGAGCCTTCTCTACGTGACGTCACAGTCCTTGTTGTAGATGGTATACAGACAGTTGTAGTCACTGACAGGAAGAACAAGTGTGTGAAATCCTTCTACACTAGAAACAATCAACTGTGTCAAAGTAGACTTCCCCTGGATGACTCTCCATGGGGTGTAACACAGAGGAAGGAGAACCAGGTGATGGTTGCTGTCCCTGAATCCAGTCAGATTTTAACAGTAGAAGTGACCCCTGACCTGCTGCTGCTCTCAACCATCACAACACGCAAGGGGTACGTCAGTCTCGCTGTTCTGAGTCCTCCATCTCTGGCAACATGTACATATGACTGTGTTGATATCCTGGACATGGCAGGACACGTGCTGAGGTCAGTCACTACACACAACAAGGAGCCACTGTTTACCGATCCCTGGTACATGTGTGTAAACAACAAGGGCAGCATACTCGTGTCTGACAGGGGGGAGCAGTCTGTGACATGTGTGAGGTCAGAGGGGGATGTTGTGTGGAGATACGCCCCCACCGGAGACAGAGAACTCACCCCTTATGGTATCACAACTACTCCAACAGGAGACATCCTGGTTGCAGGCACCAATAAGGTTACAAGGCTGACAGAGACAGGGGATTATGTCACAGATCATCAGGACATTGGCTGTGATCCATGGGGATTGTATGTCGATAGACATGACACACTGTATGTGTGTGAACAAAGTCAGATACACGAAATCATCTGAAGGTCAGATACACGAAGTAAACTTCATGTAGTCACATCAACCACTGCATGATTTCAATCATCACTATCGCTGGTGTTAAATTCACTATAACAACTCAGAATGGACTCCTCTGATTGGGGTGTGAATGATCAAGCAAAGGTGTATCCACAGACATTATGTCCACATCATTACACATCAGATTATGTGTTTAGCAACCCGTTTCTCTTAATTAAACCGGCTCCGTGTTCTCGTGAGTACGGTGTCGGCCGGGAAGGCGAAAAGCCCGTGTTTTGATCCCAATCTGCTCAAGAGATACCAATACTTTACTCTATTTTTAGTGGATATGATATGGTTTACTTGTTATTGAAGTGCTCACATGACTACCTGGACCTGTGGATGGTCACTTGATATATTGTTTAATGACACTAATGAGTTCCCAACTCTTGAGACCATCAGCGGGTTCCCGGGTCGGGTTGGTAACCCCGGCTGTAGATTTGTCCCAGCTGCAGTCAGTACCATGTTAGGTACGTGGTCCATTGCACCGTGGTCATGGAATGTTTTTACTTTACTAGATAGTAGATAGGGTGTTCCATGTAGGATGTTTGTGATGTCATGAAGTTTGTTTTGTGGAACGTTATAGTGAGCCACTTAATAACAAATAGCTCCTGCATCATACTTGTACGGAGGAACACTTCTACAATTGTGTAATTGTGTCCATATCTATAATGATTATAATAGTGTTGTAGGCATAGTTCATTTCATTGTTCAATTGTCAAAAAATAAACTGCAAGTGATTCCATGTCATAGTTTGGCTAAAAATGAAATTATTTTTGTGTGTAAGCTCCATAATCAGAGACCATAAAATAGATTTAGTTTACTCTGCATAAACTGAACAAACATTAGGCCACGCACACCCTCGGATTTGTTTCATGACTGGCTGATAATAGAGTTGACGGGTCTTGTGTTGCACTATTGCGCTGTACAGTGTCATATTTGGAATCGCCTACTCTTTCTTTGTGTCAATGACTTAATAGACAGCCTTTGGAGTTGTTATTGTTGTCTTGTAAAATGTATTGTTGTGCTTAGAGGGGCATGCACACTTTGCGTTTTATACGCAGATTAACGCATGGTATGGACACAAGTTTTTTAGATTTATACCTCCATAAACACAATAACTATTGTTAAGTTAATTCTTAAATAAATAAATTGCAAGCGACTCCTTTGCATTAGATTGGTTAACCTAAAATAACATTAGCCCACGCCAACTAGCGAACTACTTGCGTGACGTCGTAGGAATTCGCGGTGGCTCGCCCGTGATATGCATAGCCCTCAGTTTAAAAAAAAATCATTGAAATCATTGAAAGAAAACTTCAATTGATTTCTTTTACTTATTTGTAGCGCACACATAATCATTAGATCGTTTTAAATAGCATGTACACTCAGCAAGAGCAGAATGTATTTTTCACAAATAAAAAACATGACCCAACACCATTGTCTGTCATGTACTTACACCTCCATAAACGCAAAACATATTGAAGTCAATTCTGAATCCATAACTGGATTCCACAGGAGGCACCGCTACATAAAAGTTGCGTCACAATGTTTTCCAGACCAGTGTGATATCATCGGTTACCATGACGTCACGATCAACTGACATACCTTTTCTCTGTGCCACTGAAGCTGGTCAGCTGTAATTTTTTACACTGGAGAAACTTGATATTACTCTTTAACGCTGAAAAGGTTGGAAGAATTCTAAACAGAATCTCACCTCGTGCACTTCTGTTGTTAGCCATTAGGGCTGGGTTTGGTGGGGCCTGGGTTGGATCTTGGCACCCACAAGATTACCCGGACCCGCGGTTATATTATTCACGTGCTATATTGTTCAATAACAATAAAACTCCATGGCAACACCACAAATCACTAATGTTTCCTATTTCTTTCTGACGATCCACGTATTCTTTCTGACATTTATATATCTGAGTAGAGGTAAGGATTCAGTCAACCTCAGTGTGTGCATGATCAGTTCGTATATACATGTATCTCAAGGGGTTTTGCCAGGGCTCCGGTAAAACATTTCTAATCAGGCATTTTCTACCCTACTCGAATCCTACAGCAGGTTCCCTGGTCGGGTCAGGCCAGGTTGTAGGGAACCTGGGTAGGGCCAGGCAATAGGGGGTCGGGTACCTGGGTAGGGTCTGGCAATAGGGGGTCGGGTACCTGGGTAGGGTCAGGTAATAGGGAGTCGGGTACCTGGGTAGGGTCAGGTAATAGGGAGTCGGGTACCTTGGTAGGGTCAGGTAATGGGGGTTCGGGTACCTGGGTAGGATCAGGTAATAGGGGGTCGGGTACCTGAGTAGGGTCAGGTAATAGAGAGTCGGGTACCCGGGTAGGTTCAGGTAATAGGGGTTCGGGTACCTTGGTTGGGTCAGGTAATAGGGAGTTGGGTACCTGGGTAGGGTCAGGTAATAGGGGGTCGGGTACCTGGGTAGTAAATTTGGACTCATCTCAGCCCTAGTAGCCATCTACCCGTCTGTTCACGTTCGAATTATGTTTTGAACCTGCTTTATGCATGAGATTAATATTAGGAGCATATCATGACACTAAAACCAAAGTGTTAGGTTTGAATAAAACATCTTCATTGTTGGCAATCTTTGAGAATATTCTACCAAAGCACACGGTCAAGGAATCGGGAAAAATTATATGACGTCTAGCAACACAATTATATTTGTGCATGCAATTATAATAACTTTTCTTCACGGTATTTTATACTTGTTCTTACGTAACTCTCCCTATAGCACAGATCCGTCATGGAATGTATCCCAATACTGCACGTCTGGGACATGTTAAGTCATTGTGCCGTCACACACAACTACAACAAAACAACTAAACAGGTGTTTGCATTACATGCCAAAATGCAAGCAGACCCACCCCAACCTTATCTTAAATGTCCCGAACCTTTTTGCCACCATCAACAATATATCCAAACCATTTGGACTTCACCAAAATAGGTGACAGCTGACCTCACGAATATCTGTGTTCATCTTTCAGCCCTAACGTTGTCTTGTGCAGGACAATTTTAAAGGACATCAACACTCTAATGTTGAAAGTATTGAAAAGTGGATGGCTTTTTCTTCGCAGATTCAGAGTTTCCATATAATGGACTATAATCTTGACTTGTTTGACTTGCTTATTGGAATCTGCTAAGTAAGTGAGTTAAAAGTTTACGTTGCATCAGAAAGTTGTATTGTTGCCCTTTTAAAGTCAGATAGTCACATGCCTATAGCTTCATTTATAACAAGGTTATGATCACTTCCATGGTCTATAACATGTTTCATAAGAGTGTGTTTGAGAAAACAAATTGTGACAGTGTATTAATCCTGCACAAGAGACTCACTGTATATGTTGACGAAAACGAACTCATGATAATCAAGACGGGTTAATTAAGGAAGTGACGATTTGTAAAACTAAGAGCCAAAATAGTTCGAATGACTGATTTATGTGTTTACTATGTTTACAAACAAATTTGAAACCTCACATCATGGTCAGCCTTCGACGGGCTTCGTCTATCAGGAAACAGGGCTTGCTGATGTTTCAGGATATAAACACATACAATGTATTTTCTCATGCTAAAGTAAACAGTGAAAATATATAATTTGGAACTCCTCATTCAATTTCCACTTCATGCTTGTTACAGTCACAATTCCCAGATTGTTATTCCTCGTGAACGTAGACGTAGACACTTCGTGATGCACAGATTGTTGACGATTAGCATTGCAGGCACATCTCAGAGATGTCCATACTGATATTAAAGTGTAGCTAATGAAGTTCGCTGTGCACGTGAACTTGGCAGCGTTGTGGACAAGGTCAAAAACAGTTCGGGATATAGCCCGTATGACAAGTATTTCTCTGTTTGCTTAGATATCTTTAAATATTATGTGAAGCATGACTGAAATAAGATCAATTGAATTTTAATACGATTTTAATTCGACGAAGGCCAGTAACATATCAGCTAAAGGTATCTCTGTATAAGACGGGAAGTAACACAGTTAAATTGAACAGCATATATCCTTGCCTACCCCAGCAACGTACCCGACGCATTTTCGTTTTTAAATCTACAAAAGGACGTTTAACCTTACTGCAACTATCTTTTAAGTGTTTTTTGTTCTCACGAAAATTATATTCTAATAAGGGCCCCCTATTTCTAATTTGGAGAGCGCCCTGGGCGCTTATTACGTCGAATACGGTAAAACATCTTTCTTTCATCAGTTGCGTTGTGTGTGTCATGTGTTGGGGTCAGCATGTTTCAGTCACCTGGAGTCATGGAGCATTCATGTTAACGAACCAAGCCATATTGCAACTGTATCCCTGTATCTTCAGTCATCGAATCTGGATGGGACAGAGTTGATAGAACTGGTTCTGTATGTTATGGTGAGGGAATGGCACTCATCTCTTCAGACATTGTAACCTCCCATGCCCTGATGTAGTACATGGTCTCCATGGTGATTCCGGGGTAGAATTGGTTCTCAGGATGCTTCGATTTTCGTGCGAATCGACATGGATCGAAACCTGTCGTTCATCGGGGCTCATGCTTTAAATTCAAGGTTTGTTTGGCCCAGACTTGAATATTGACAGTCTGCCATGACCGTGACCTGAGAAGCGTGGTCCGACCGACCGACCGACCCACCCACCCACCCTTCCACCGATCCACCCACCCTTCCACCGATCCACCCACCCTTCCACCGACCCACCCACCGTCCCAACCACCTTCCCACCCACCGACAGAGAGGTTGGAGTGAGCTATGTTTACATTTTCACTGTGCAGGGCAAGTCGTCAGCTATGAGGTGGATGAGAGTCACGCCACCCTGCCAGTCTTGACTTGGTGGGAGTCGACAGGCAAATATCCTGATTATGTCATCTCCTGTGAGACGCAACAGAGATGTCTCGTGTCCAGGAACAAGACACGACTGCAGCATCAGGAAGTCATGGTGAGTAACCATGACAACATATACACGGTAAATGTTTGCGATAATTTTGGATGAGACGGCTACTGAGTGACGCTTCCATTGCAATTTATCTGCTCTATGTGTTACTGAAATTGTGTCACCGTCACATTAAGCTTTACCAGTACAAACGGTCGATCATGTCAACTATGTGTGTAGGCATGTTTGCGAAAGAAACTACCCAAAAGTATATACCTACATGGAGCGTCATGATTTCAGTGTTCTTACAACCGGCCATTATCGCGATATATTATGTAGGTTATAGGGGATTAGACTGACATGAACTTTAGAGATAAGTCTCGCATCAGTAAGTTTGCTGATACCTGTCGCAGATAGTTTGATTTCATTCGTGTTCACCGCAACATTAAAAACGTCGTCACAACAGCCTCTTCTTTCAAAGCGAAAAACGCACGACAACCTTGGCGTCAAATGGCCACACTGCGCACACTCGTCCGTGACGCCTTCAGAACATACACAGTCAGAAGTTGTACCTTTTGTCAGAGGGACTATCAATGTTCCATTTATATTTTCAGATGTACGTATTTTACGGCTCATTCTTTCTGTCGAGTGGTCTTCCTTTTCCAAGGAAGGATGGCGATATTTGGGCATTGATCCACGAAGAGTCGCCCATGAACAAAGATTGGCTGTTTTCATTCAGGAGCACTACAGAGCTGTTCAACTACACATCGACTTTCAAGAGGGGTTCTGACTACCCGCTCACCACCCACTGGTTGACAAACAAAGAGACACTGCTCAGTAAAGAATATTTAGTCCCCACAGACAGAAAGAACGTGATGAGGACAGATGGTGGCCTAGCTCCAATTATATTTGTCCACAGCGACTGCAACACACCATCCAACAGGGAGCAGTACGTCACGACGTTGCAGAAATACGTCGATGTAGATTCCTACGGCCCTTGTCTCCACAACAAGGACTTCCCAGAAGAGTGAGTCCACCTGAACCATATGCAGTCAAACATATACACACACAGACATACAAACAGACATAGACGAATACAGACACACACATACAGACACAAACAGAGACATACAGACAGACATACACGAATACAGACACACACATACAGACACACACACAGACATACAGACAGACATACACGAATACAGACACACACACATGCAGACACACACATACAGACACACACACAGACATACAGAGAGACATACACGAATACAGACACACACACATACAGACACACACACAGACATATAGACAGTCATACACAAATACAGACACACACATACACACTGATACAGTCACACATACAGACATACACATACACACTGATACAGTCACACATACAGACACAAACATTCACATTCATACACATACACACATGAAGACACACACACACAGGCATACACGCATAACGACACACACATATGCATGCAGACATGCACACATACACAGGGAATATGCACTTTCGACGAATATTATCAACCCAACACACATACACACA